CCCCAAAACCCCAAAACCCCAAAACCCCAAAACCCCATCAGTAATTATATAAAAATATTAAAGAATGCATTATTATAATATATAAATATGATGTAAAAGTTTTTCTTTAAGATGAACTCAAGACAATCGCAATAAGTCTTGAGAAATCTTATCTCAACTCAGAGAAACTTCTCAAGACTCGTAAACTACGAGACTACTTAGCCACCAGCAGTTGGATCTGTTCCAATCAGTAAGGACTTAAAAAGCTCATTATTTAAAATAATCTAATTACTTCTAACTTGTTTATAGATCAATTGGACACTAGAAATGCCAACAGTAAATACTACAATCCATATACCTTTGATCCTCAAAGACTAGACTACCAAGAGGATGTTAGATTGGCTGTAAGAGATGAGTTACCAACAGAGATTGATGCCAGCGATGTTGCTGAAAACTTGTACGCTTACCTCTTTATGACAGAATCAACATGGCCCGCATTGTTCTTTGGAGCCTGGGCTGCTTTCGAGCCAGATGTAAGTTATTAATGACAACTTAAAATTTTCAGCCAATTATCCACTATCCATGGGAGAAAGGTCCACTCTCACCCATGTTTAGAGGTGAGCATGCTCTTAGAAGATATCCAACTGGTGAGGAAAGATGTATTGCTTGCAAACTTTGTGAGGCTACTTGCCCTGCATTTGCCATTGTTATTGAGGCTGAACCAAGACCCGATGGCTCTAGAAGAACCACAAAGTATGACCTTGATTTAACTAAGTGTATTTTCTGTGGTTTTTGCCAAGAAGCTTGCCCAGTTGATGCCATTGTAGAGGTAATATATTTTCTATCTCTATATTTTCCAATATAGGGTCCTAACTTTGAATACGCCACTTTCTACCATGAAGAACTTATGTATGATAAGAAGAAGCTTATCGAAAATGGAGATAAATGGGAACCCCAACTCGCAAGAATCCAAGAGGCCAAGACTAAGACTCGTTGAAGATATAGGCAGCTGGATGAATTTATCTAAACTCAGATGGATCTCTATTTGTCTAAGTGGAGATTTTAATTATTTAAACATTCACAAATTTCATCAAAACTTGAATATTATATCGAGATCCAAACTAAATATTTGTAGCCTAATAAAGCTCTCGGGGTTTTGGGGTTTTGGGGTTTTGGGG